AAAAAAAAAAAAAGAAGAATTTTATCAAGTAAAAACATAAAAATCATTCTTCACTCTCAATCACATTCCTAGAACTATAGTTAACAGTTTAATATATTTCATTTCAAATGTTTTTTCACTTATATGTAAAACATTATACATAGCATTCATGAGCCATTCTTCCACGTGGGCCTCCCAACGAGCTGGGATTACAGGTGTGAGCCACCGTGTCTGGCCAATGAGCCATAATTTGTATAACCAATTCTGTGTTGATGAACGTGCAGTCTCTAACTTTTCACTATCAGAACGTTGGACAGTGTAACTTTTTACTTTTGTCAGTCTAATAGGCAAGAAATAATTTTACTGTCTTATTATTTTAAAATCCTTGAAGAATTACACAAATAATACATGATAATTATAAAAGCACTCAAACTTTACAGGAGTATATAATATAGTGATTGAATGTGATTTTTCTAAAAGCTTGGGAAGGGTGAGATAAAGACAAGTCCATGACAATTACTCTCAGTTTCCAAACGAGGAAAACTGGAGCCCAAGGTTGTAGCTGCAGGTAGTCTCCACAGGGCCAGAGTCGAGCAAGAATCCCTCTGTGCCCAAGTCTCCTCCTCTTTCTTTTTAAAGGGCTGGAGAGTGCCTGAGGGTCTCGAACTGCTCTGCCTCGGCAGAGAGGTTGGCTAGAACACTGTTGAAGGAACCACTGAGCTAAACTCCCCTTTCTAATTAAGCCCAAGGGTATTTTGTACTTTTTTGCACCAAGCCTGGCAGAGCGGCCAGGTGTCTGAAACGGCAGAGAATGGCTTCCTGATGTCATCATTGCCTTTCTTCCTTACAAAATTCCTGGCCTGCCCTAGAGGCCTTCCATTCCTTGAACCATGCCTGAATAAGGTGCAGTTACCTAAGGCCAAATGCAGGCTCTTTCCTGCCTGGAACGGCTCAACCCTTTCCCCAGGCATCCAACTTTGCCTCCAGTACAAAGCAGATGCCCCATTAGTGCTTCTAGAGTGGGCTGGAGACCACCTCCTCTATGCACCTTTCATAACCCAAGCATCCCGGTAGCAGGGGACACTCCTTCCTTTCATGTTCCCCCTCTGCCTGGTACATCCATCCTAACACATGTGTCACTGCAGCTATTCATGTCTGCCTCTCCCATAACACTGTCACCTCCTTCATGGAGGTGGTCCTGTCTACCATCATTTCCACGCAACTGGCACCTTGAGTCTCTCACCGCGTGTTCAGGGGTTTGGGACGGGAGCATGATGGCATCCCTGGCCCTACTCTTGCTTACCTTGTGAGGCCTGTGCTTCTCGTGGACATGAAGGATGTGGATCCGGAGCCGGTCCCGCTTCTCAAAGGATCGTGTGCAGAGAGAACAGGGAAATTTCCTATCACCCTTGTCCACACAGGGGGTGTACTTGAGGTGCTTGTCCCTGTAGTATTCGTAGGTGAACACTTTCCCACATCTTTCACACCAAAAGCCTTTTGCAGACTCTGGAACACAGCACACAGTGGCCTTTTCAGTTATTTCTACCCTTTTTACTTCCTCCAGGAGGATTTTTAAAAAGCCTTTTATTACAGAAAATTTTAAACATATGCCCAAGTGAAAATAATAGTGTGTAATAAATCCTCATGTGCCCAACACTAAGCTTTGACGGTGACCAATGCAGCCAATTTTGTTTTCATTTATATCCCCTCTCTCCATAATGAATTATTAACACTAATTCATCATTTGATTCATAAATACCTCAAACTGTAATCTTTAGAAGATAGTATGTTTTTAAAAAGCATAAGCATAATGCCATTGTCATATTTAATCTTATTCCTTAATAGAAATTTTTAGTACTTACATACATACATATATATTTAATTACTTTATGGTCAGTTAGTTCAAATTATGGTTCAAGTCTACATGTTGTACATTGTTGTTATAGCTCTTAAATATCTTAACCCATAGGCTCTCCTTCCCTTGTTTCCTGAAATGTATTTGTTGAAGAAACCCTTCTACCAGCCCAATTTAAGAGCAGTTCGACCCTATAGTTCTTTTTTTTTTTTTTTAGACAGAGTCTTGCTCTGTTGCCTGGGCTAGAGTGAGTGCCGTGGCATCAGCCTACCTCACCAGCAACCTCAAACTCCAGGGCTCAAGCGATCCTTCTGCCTCAGCCTCCCGAGTAGCTGGGACTACAGGCATG